TTTGGTATTTTTCTGACAAAATCAAGAAAAGAAAAAAAAAATCCTTTGTGGATGAATGTTAAATTTTTTGTTTCCCCTTTTACCTCAATTGTATCATAGTACATCTGGGTTTGTTTTACTGTGTGGCCAATGTCTTTGGGCATGATGCTATCCAACCATTGTCAATGTGCGAACATTTCTGAAGATGGGAAAGAAAAATATGTAGCTCACAAACTGGTTTATTATATATATGGATAAAAAACTTTTTTCATTGTGGTCTTAACACTTTTATATAAAAATGAAAATGGAAAAAAAAAATCCCACTGAACTCTCTCTTCCTTCTCCTTTCTTACCTTCCCTCTCCAGAGAAGTTGGTTTCTACAGCAACTCGATATAAAATTGTGGCTTTAAAAATGCATGAAACCACCTTTAATCATCCAGAATGATGAATAGATTTTTTCCTCACCGCCCTCCCAACAAAAACACAACAAAACCAATATTCTTTGCACTTGCAATCCTTGGCCCCTTTCCCCATTCTCACACCATCACTCTGGACAGAGGATCATACATGTCATTAGCAAGCAAGAGGTACTGAGGTGATCACAGAGCGTTAGGGTGGAAGCCATTCCCAGTGTGGGGTCTTCATCCTGCAGACCCTCGGGCAGTCCCTGCTTTGTTGAACTTCATCTTAAGTGGACAGTGCCTGTTCAAGAGACCACATTCCTACAGCCAGGAGCTAATTGTGCAAGAAGTGTTCAACTTTAAAAAGAAAAGACCACTTGCTGACATCCTGCTTACCCAGTGGCTTTCTCCTATTTCTCTTAATGCTTAGAGAAGAATGACCTGAAGAAGAAATACATGGGGGTGTACACAGAGAAAAAGACATGAATCTTTATTTTTCACTGCCAGCTTCAAGGAAAGAAAAAATTTTTCTACAATTTGCATGAGGGATTTTTAAAAAAAATTGTATGTACTCATGGTTATAAACTGAAATGTACTGTAACAGAAAAGGAGCAAAAACCCAGGTCCACCTTCCCCACACCAGTTTGTCCATCCTGAGTTTCAGCAACGTTTCCTTCCTATGAGCCAAGAAGGCAACTGCACAGGCTTGTAAATGGTTCATCTTTAAAATGTACATAAGTGAAACATTTAATGAAATGAGGGGAAATGGGTTTATAAACAATGTTTTTTTCCTAGGTTTCCCTATTTTAATAGGCTTTCACAGACTGGCAGATGCTCAAGATGTGATGGGCCTGAAGACACAGGTGTGACGTTTGTTACCACCTGTTTGTCCTTACCCCCATTTTTTTGGTTTGTTTTTTAACCTCCAGAACACTATAATAGTGAACTGGAGGGACCCCTCCCATAAACAGCTTGGGCAGCTTTGTGACCCCGTGGCATCTAAAAACTGAACTGAGGATCCATCTGGGCTTCTCTTCCCCGGCTTTTTGCCTGATGCCATTTTGACAGAATTATGGACTTTGAAGTCAACCCTTTGCCTTTCAGAAAGATCAAGAACTATGGTCAACTCTATCTACAACGACCTAATCCTTCTCTTTGGTAGTCTCCACAGCAGCCCAGTCTTAGCAGAGCTGGGTTCCTGGCCTCTGCACACGGAATGACTTTCTTGATGGGTAATTTTTTTAAGACCGTAATACCAACAGTGGGTCAGCTGGGTTTTGGCCAGGAAGTTACTGTGGATTCTGCCTGCATGGCTTAGTAGTAGAAGGTTGGGTTTTTTTTGTTTTGTTTTTTTATAATTCAGTTTAATCAATAAACAAGTATTTATTGACTGCTTTCTGTGTTGAGACTGTATAGAATATTCAAATTGAAAGCTCATGGTTTTCTTTTGCTTTAATGTACTAGTTTGTTTTAATCATGGATAATAGGATGTTTTGATTTCTCCCTCCTCTCTTACCTCACTGAATTTCTATACATTTTTGGATTTGCTGTCTTATCCTACTTTTTCAAAAAAAGGTTTAGAGAGGTTATGCGTCAGAATTACCTAAGGTGTTCATTTTAAAATTAGGGGTTAGCACCATTCAGGGATGGAATTTGGCCAATACCCCAACTGATTTTACAGCTACACACAAAACTTGTAAGGGGTTTTTTGACAGTGCTAGAAATTAGTAGGTTTCAACAATAAACATTTAGGTTAAATGTTGAAAATTACTTAGTATTTCCCACACGGAAGTTGAATGGGAGGAGTGAGGCTGTCGGTTCCAGCCTGGGGGTAGCCTTATACAGAACAGCTCTACTAGATGCTACATTTTTGAACGGTGTTTTAACTAAAACTACACTTGCTGCCAACATTAACCAGAAACTTTATTTTAGAATCTAACGCATGGGTGAAACTTTAAGAAAAATACTAAACATAAAAGCCAATTAGGTTATCCCACAAGGATTAAGAAAACTGCCTTAAAAAATGAAGACAGGAGTAGGTCTTCTGTATTGTCATGCAGAGAACTCTATTATCCGTGCTATAAGAACCAAGAGCCAAAGGGTTCTCAAATCAGGGAGGGAGATGGCACATGGCAGTAGTTAGTGGTTTCCCTCTTGTTATTACCTAGTCAGACAAAAGACAACTACTCAGCAACTGTTTCAAAAGATTTATTTTACAAAAGAAAAGTCTACCTTTGAACCAGCCAAGTTCAAAGTTGGAAGAAAGGTACAGCTTCAGTTCTAGATAATGCGTCTGTATTTCACTCAAAGCCACTAAAAAGGAAGAGAGCATAATAAATTTGTGAAGTGACAGGTTGAGGAATCAATTCCTAAAAGCAGTTCTACTCAACCAAAACGCATTTCACCGAGAATTTTTGGGTTGAGATTTCAAAAGAAAAACCCACTTTAGTGCAAGCCAAAGGGCCTCCCAACTCTTCTACCACCTATTTTTTCCCTACTGTAATTTTAATTTCAATCACCTGATCATGTGGGCAATATCCCAGTTGGTCTCTGCTGACAGTGGTCCCTCTATTTCAACACCTTTTTCGGTTACTGTGGCGATTTGGAACTGAAAGAAAACAGCTCTCAATGAAAATGCCCACCCCCACATGAAAGTCTCTGGGGCCTGGTCAAAGGTCAAGTAGAGGGTCTCTCCCTAATATGAAAATAGAAATAGGGCAAACTTCTTCAAAGCTCAGAGACCCCAGGCATTTGCAAGTATTCAGAATCTCCCAATTAGATCCCCTTCACCTTTCTTCACTCCCCTCCTCACCCGGTTGTAAGAACGGGCGTCTCGGTAGTACAGCACCCGCATGCAGCGTTCCACTAGCTCCCGGGCCTCCGTCTGGCTCAGCACTGGCTGCTTCTCCAGAACTTCTCGAAGCAGAGGCTAGGGAGATTAGGGAAAAAACATGGAAGATATCAGGGGCTGAATACCAGGCTATTTGTCTCAAGTCCATAGTGTAATATGCACAAGTGAGTGAAAAGGTAACATTCCACCTACTGCCTCACCAGAATAAACTTTATTTGTGCTAAGACCCACCTGAAGGGGAAGTTCTAGGGTGTCCTCTCTTTGCTATGTCTACTAACTCCTGCACATGCCTTGTCATTGGAATGTTAAGTGCCACACTTAAAGCCTTTGGACTGCAAAGAACCATCTGCCCAGCAACAGGGATCCTAGCCTGTTCCTCATGTCAGAATTACAATGTAAAAACAAGCATACAACCACTAATCCCCATTGCCTTCTGTCTTCCCCTCTTTCCCCACCTCTTAATTCACCTTACCTGAGCCAAGTATGCACCATAACCAGTGGCCAGTGAAGGGGCTTCATAGGCTACACCAAGCATGTCCACATACCCGAGGAAGCTAACAGGACACAATAAGTCAAAGAACTCATTTCACTTTAGGTTTTTGTATGTTAGCTCATGGGGTCCAAAAACTGGGATTTACTCAGGGGATCATGATAAACACACTACACAGGCACTACAGGTTAGCTTGCCAAGGAAATGTTACTTGTATTCAATCAAATCAACCTCTCTCCGTCGGAATAGCCTCCAATGACCATGGTGTTCCACAGGGGGTTCATCTTGGAGCGCCGGCTGTACATGGCCCTGGTCAGCCACGAATGAATGGCTCTAGGACTATAGCTGTGCCCATCTCCCAACAACTCCTCATCAATCCTTAGAAAGAAATGGTCGTGAGAAAATAAACGCTTGTTAGAATATTAAAGTCGGCATCTCCCTCCCACATCTTCCACTCCCAACAATTCTCCATCCTCTGCTGCAGCCTCAAGTGCCTCCCTCCACCTTAGAACTTCTTAAAGAGATTAAGAAAACCAACAAAACAGAGGATTCCCCTCCCGACTTGGGAACTACACCATATTCTCTAGATGACTTACACCATCTGGCCGAGAACTTGTTTCAAATACTGGAAATCAGCGTAGTCTCCGGACGCACCCAGCATGGTGCTGTCATTGACTCGCATAATGCGAGAGATGTTGCGGAATCGGGCCAAGGAGCCGTAGGAACCCAGCATATCTGCTGCAATGACCACTCCGCTGTCAAACTTCAGGCCCAGGACCGAGGTGCCGGTCACCATGGGGTTCCTGGAGACAGAGGGGGATGCTGGAGGGGCGGCGCGCGGGGAGCGCCCGAGTCCTCTCCCTGCGCAGTGGGTTCCCCTTCGGATTTTCCACGGCTCCTTTCATTCCCCGGGACTCTGCCCCGCGCTGCCCCTCGCCTTCCCCTGCTCTCTCCCAACCCTCCGGCCCACCAGGCCCCACAGGCCCACCCCCTGCGCAAGCTGGGGCGCCGAGCTTACTGCGTGAGCGTAATCGGACCCCCGTAGAGCGCGGACGCCGGGTCCACTAAGGAGCCGGGAGTTGGCGGGATGCGGTAAAACTGCCCGGGGGCCGGCCCCCCGGCCCAAAGGCCTGACCGCGACTCCCCAAACGCTTCCATCTTAGTCACTGCAGCAGAGGAAACGAAATCGCTTGCACCACCGGAAGCGGAAGTGACCTAAGGCCACCTCTTTCCCCTTCCTGCGAGCCACGGCCGGCAGCCATGCTGGTGAGGTCGCTACGGGGCCCCCGGCCCTTCCGGGCCGGGCCGCCCCAGCCCGCGGAGCTGGGCCTGCGCGACGTGGCGCGCAGCGCAGTGGAGCGTGGACTGGGCCCGAGTGTTCTGACGCGCGTTTAAGGAAGGCGATGGTGTGGGAGGTAGGTGTGGGGGCCGCTTGGAGACGCTTACCCTGAGCCGGGAGGCAGATTTCTTTTCTCCTGTCCGTTTTGGATCCTTGTGCAAAGCTCCCAGTGAAACTAACAGTGAATCAGGATCGCTTACACTGAGCTTCTCACAGCAGCCCCACATGGCAGGCATGGTGGACCCCATTATAGATAAACCGAGCCTTGCGTTGTAGGGATTTGCCTGAGCCCACAGCTCGTAATGGGAGATCTGAGTCTTCAAAGCCAGCATTTAAAAAGGAATCCTACGGTTGTGAATGATGCCTCCCGTGGATTACTCAGCAGGACCTTGGACGTGTCTCTGAAAGCTTTCTTATTAGAAAATGCTCTTGCCCACCGGTGAAGCAGCAGAAAAATTCCATCGACTGTGGGAGTGAAACTAAATTCCAGGGCTTCCCTTTTCAGTAGGACTCTGGAAAGGCTGGAAGCAGTGTCCAGAATCAAACTGGTGAACCTAAAACCACGACGTTGGCTGTCCTCCCTACACAACTTTGAATTTCAGTTTTTCGATCAGCAGGGAACTAAATCGATTTTGTTTCTTAAATTCCCCGAGTTGATTTGAACAAAAGCAATGCATGACATTTTAACCTTATTGAAAAACAAAATATTTTATTAGATTATGAAACCCTGGAAAGGGAAGGGTCAAGAATTTGGTATGTTAGAGACATCCAGCTCTTAATATCAACTTTTGGTTTTGAAAAATAGGTGTTCACTTTTTTTCCTCTAATTAATAGCCACCCACACCCAAAGCCCCATATTCCAGGCAACTTTGGGGCCATTCATGGGCTTACTTGCACAAAAATGCAGGTGCTCGGTTGTGGTGACAATGGGCTTACTGGAATTCCTCAACCCCTAAATACATCCCTCTTCACCCTCCTCATATGAACTTAATCAGCCAGCAATGAGCTGGCTATATCCTTCTTTAGAAGTAGCCCGAAGTGGCTGGAGATCTGGCAGGTAGCCCAGTTCCACAGGGCCTTAAAGCAGAAAAGTGAAAAACAAAACAACAACAAAAACAAAAAAAAGCAGAAAAGTGAAAGGATCTGGAATCATCCAGCCTAAGAGGCTAACACAGAAAGCAAAGCACAGACATTCGATGATGCAGTACTCAAAAGGTGACCATCATGGGTTCTCTTCTAAGATGAACACAAAAAGACATAAACTGAAACAAGGGAAATTTAGGAATATTCTTTCTTTTCTTTTTAAAGCAGATCTGGTACTATGTAGGAAAACTTTTTTTAAGTGTACCCAGTTTTCTATGGTTGTCTATTACTTTGATTTTCATTAGCATTTAGCTCCCACCAAAGTTCAAGCTCTTAAGTCAGTAATGACTGGACTGGTTTTATAATGTGCAGAATACCCTTGGTTACAGGGGATGTCCTGAAATTCTCAGAAAAGAAAGAAAACTAGACTAAACCATTGTCTCCACCACCTCACAAATATTTTCACTACTCCCCCCCCCCTTTTTTTTTTTTTTT